CACATAGAAAATCCCAAAGAATCTTCTAAAAAAAAAACCATCTTAGAGCTAATAAGAGAGTTTAACAAATTCACAGTATACAAAGTAAACTTACAAAAGTTAATTATGTGTTTACATACTAGTAATAAGCACATGAATACTAAAATTAAAAATATAAGGACTTAGAAAATGAGACATTTAGGTGTAAATCTAACAAAACACATAAAGAGCTAGGATATTGAAAGTTACACAACACTGATGGAAAAAAATCAAAGAAGATCTAAATAAATCAAGACACATACCATGTTCATGGATCGCAAGACTTGACATAGCAAAGACGTCGATTCTTCCCAACCTAATATATAGATTTAATACAATTCCTATTAAAATCGTAGCAAGATTTTGTAGACAAGATTATTACAAAATTTATATGGAAGGAGAGAGAAACTAGAATTACTAATATAATTTTGAAAAAGTGGACTAAAATGGGAGGAATCAGTCTACCTGATTTCAAGACTAATTATATAGCTACAGTTATGAAGACTGTGTGCTATTGATGGAACAGAACCTAAAACTCAGAAATAGACTCACAAAAATACATCCAGCTAATTTTTTTACAAAAGTGCAAAAGCAACTTAATGAAAGAAAAACAGACTTTCAACAAATGGTGCTGGAACAATCAGACATCCATAGGCAAACAACAAAGCAAGAAAGGAAGGAAGAGAGAAAAGAAGGGAGGAGGGAAGGGAGGAGAACCTCTAAGTCTCATACCTCATATAAAAATTAACTCAAAATAGATTACAGACTTAAATGTAAAATATAAATATGAGGTGATGGCAGCAGGAGAGGAATGGGTATAGCTATAAAATGATAACATGAGGGATTCTTGTGATGGAAAAGTGTGTCATCTTGACGTCAATGTTAAAATCCTGGCTGTGATACTGTACAGTAATGTTGCAAGATGTTGCCATTAGAGGAAACTGGGTAGAGGATATATACCAATACCTCTTTGAATTAGTTCTTACAACTGTTAGGAATCTACATCTATTTCAAAACAAAAAGTTTAGCATAAAAATACTAAGAAATACCTCTCAAAAGTTTAACCCATATATGAGTTTAAAACAAAGGAAATCTCAATGTACCCAAAGAGAAAGGCAAACTTAAGGACAGAGAGTACATGGAAGTTAAAGCTGGATGGCCCTTGAGAGATCCATGACCAGCTATTCAGGGTAAGAATTAGAATTTAATTTCCCAGCAGGGGCTGGAATGAGAGTTTTTGATAGAGCCGAGAACTGTATTTGGTTTAATAAAGCCTGAGCTAAGAAATGTTATGAACAGGAATTAAATAATGTGCTGTAAACAGAAATTAAAATTATTAGTTTAACGATCCAGGTACACAGTCCAGAGGGTAAGTGCTTGGCAGAATTAGAATGCCCCATGAAAAATCAGAACCCCAATCCTGCCTTATGCACAAGGGTAGATATTTTGCACTGTCCTTCTAGTGCAGACATCTGAACTGAAACACTAACAACAAATTCACTTGGAACCAATCCTGTAGTGCCCCTGGCAACAGCAAAACCAAAATGACCCCCACTGTGATACTCACTCCTGAGGATAAATTCAGAGTCTAGCTGATTAAAGAACACAGTTCCTCCATCAAAAAGCTAAGAATGGAACAAATCAACTAAACTGTCAAAAGAAACAAATTCCACAATGTCAACGTTGTGAAAGTGTTGATGGGGGAAGGGTAGTGAAAATGGTGGAGATGACAGAGGAGAGCTGCTGAGCTGAGACATGGGCTGACTCAGTCTGGGAGCAGCCTCAAAGAGGACAAGGGCTGGAGACATGCTAGAGTACATTAAATGGAGGAAGGAGGTTGTCCCACAACTTCCCATAGGTAGCTTTTCTAGGGTCCTCAGAATGAAATCATCTTGAGTCTGCTCCAGAGGAGACTAAATGAGCCTCAAATCGTAGACAACTCCAAGAGAACACAGCCTCCAACATCTCATTCAGATGACCACATCTGAAACAAAGAAAGCCAGGTTTGCACCTCAGGAATGACAAGCAGATGCCCTGGTCCACATGAAAGTGTTTCCTTCCTAAGAAGGACTTCCCAAATGCTACTTCTGCCCCCAGAAGTGGAGAAGGGCTTATAGCCAGCAGATCCTAGGCCTGCCATCCTGTGAATTTGAATGTAGGGCCATACTTGGGTGAGAGAACAACTACACTGGATGTCACACCCTAGACACATGATCAGAAGTCAGACACAAGTCCAACCACTATTCTTTTGACTAGGACCACTCTAGGTGGATACTGGCAAATTTGGCACAGAAGCAAATGAACTTGAATCCAGTGAAGTAGTGCACACACCGAAAGGAAAGAAACTCATTTGGCTTTGGGTTTTGTAACCATCCATTTTTTTTTTTTTTTTGTAACCATCCATTAAACATCCAATTATGTGTAAAAGGTTCCAAAATAATCCTCCGAGTAGAATGTTTCTTCTGGGAAAATTGTTCACTGATCTGGATGTGAAAGTTTCCCATCATCTTAACTAACACTTTGTGTTTCTGAACTTCATATGAATCTGAAATCTGAATCTGAAAATGCCTACATGGTAGTACTCCTGCTCCTTGGGGACGTGTGAAATTGAAAGGGTCCTAGTATTCCCTTCCCAAGTCTGGGATAATGCTAAACAATATGCAATTTCCTTTAGAAAGCACAAGATGAAAGTGGGGAGCAATTTACAGCAGTGGTTTCACCCCTGGCTGCTCATTAGAATCACCTGGCGAGATCTGGTACTTCAGAGTAATATTGGCCAATACCACCCATTAACACCCACTTATGCTAATCCAGTGGTTGGCAACACTGACTGCACTTTAGAATCTACTGAGGAGCTTTAAAAAATGCTGATGCCTGGACTCTTCCATTAGACCAAATAAATCAAAACATCTGGGCTGTGGGGTTGGGGCATGGGTCCATTTTTAAAGCTAGACAGCTAGTCTTAATGTTGAGCCAGGGTTAAGAATGACTACTCTAGTCCAGGGCTTCTCAAACTTCAGTGGGCATCAGAATCTCCTGGAGAGCTAATTAAAACAAAGGTTTCAGACAGGCAAATCTATAGATTAGCCGTTCCCTAGGACTGGAGGAATGTGGGAATGGGGAAGTGACTGCTGAGGGATATAGGTTTCTTTGTGGGCTAACGAAAATATGCTAAAATTTATGGTGATGGTTGCACAACTCTGAATACATTTAAAGCCACTGAGCTGTAAACTTTAAGTGGGTTAACTGTATGTATGTGAATTATATCTCAGTCAAGCAGCTAAACACACACAGAGAGATTTTTGTCCATTCCCCAGCGATTTTAACGCACTAGGTCTGAAGTGAAGCCCATGGGTTCATCTTTGTAATGAGCTCCCATTCAATGTGATGTTGATTCTGCAGGTCCACAGACCATACTGCTCCATCCCACAGAAACATGCTCATGTTTAAGGAGCATGATAACGTTTCATCATCAGGGGCTCTTTCTTCAGTTCCGGCCATAGAGGATCGGGTGCCATGATGCTTCCAGGGTTGTCTCACGGGAATGAGAACCAGGATTGCAAAAGGGGAGATGTGATGTGAGTCCAGAGCAAGCCTAGAGGATGACAGCCATGGAACTGGGAAATGTGCTGCAGCTCAACGAAGCCCCTGATGAGGCCCAGAGAGAAGAGGAAAAGAAAAATAGAAAACCATTAACCATTCTTGATTTTGTGCTATGATCTAATTAGGGGGAAATGATAAATACCTAATATGAAAATCCAAATTTACAGAAAGAGGCAAAGCAAGACTTTCCATTTATTGTACAAAGCATTTCATCCCCAGAGGTCCTCTGGAAAACTTAAACCACTGGATAATGTTTTACTGAATTTTCTCACAGTATTCTGGCAAAGTCAAACTCTAGAAACACAAGATAAATGCAGCCCTAAATTACAAAGCACAGAAATTCTTAGCAAAATGGTAGTAACAATGGGAGGATTTGGAACAAGTGCCTTTTGCAGGAATGCCAATGCCACTAGAAGTTTTGCTTAGCAAACCAACCCTGGCACAGGGGCCAAAGCCGAAAACATGGACTCCTCCAAAACCACCTTCAGGACTCTGGGATTCCTTCCCCTGCAATCACTCACTCCCTAAACACATACCTCAAAAAATCTCAACAGAATTCCTGAGCGTTATTTGCCCTGCAGTTGCTGGTGGGGCTGTCACTATTGGTTGCATTTTGAGATACAGCGTGTAACGGTAGAAAGACTGAACCCAAGGTAACTTGCACAGTGAATTTATTCAATATCTCCAAGCTGCCTCATCTGCTAAAACGAGGCAAAGAGGACAATGAACATAAATCACATAGTAAACCACACACTCCAGTGCTTGGCATATTCAAATAATATAACAGCAGCAGCCAATATTCACTGAGTGTTTATTATTTATTAAACACTCCACAATACTCTATTAAAAGTGTCGGCAAACTCTTTCTGAAAGACCAGACAGCAAATATTGTGCAGTTCCTCAGCCATACAGTAACTACCCCAACTACTCAGCTCTGTCGTTGCAGTTCAAAAACAGCCCTAGACAATCTGTGAACACACAGTATATCTGCCTTTCAATAAAACTTTATTTATAGAAACAAGAGGCAGGCCAGATTTGGCCTATGGTTCATAGTTTGCCAAACCTTGCTCCATGAGGCAGATACTACTATTATCTCTATTTTACAGATGAGAAAACAGAGGCACAAAGGGATCAATTGACTGCCTGAGGTTCCCTCATGAAGTCTGATTATGAAGCACACAGAGTCAACTATCACATCACAGCAGCTGCTATCACCATCATTATTTATAACATTCTCACTCAGTCCAAATTTAAGTTCTGTTCGTTCAAAATATGCTGTCCAGCCAGTCAGTCAACAATACCTTCAGAGCTGCCTCAGAGGCTGAAGACCAAACTCAAATTCTCTCTCTTCTTCCCCCTCCAACCCCGCCCTGATGTTCCTGGTTGGAGTTCTGTCTGCCTCCTCTGAACCCTCAGTGCCCTTACTCTTGTACCTCTCAATTCAATCTCTTTTATTTATTAAACACTTTCTCGCCAACCCCTTTGGAGGCCAGGATCATCACATGACGGGGGCTCAACTCCCATATGTCAGTGCATCTGTGAACCTGTTGGTAGTAGGTCTACTGGCTGGGACTCTAGGGGCCGGAGCAGAGGAAGGAGATGCCAGAGCTCGCACTCACCAGTCCGTGGCAGGCACTGAGGGCTGCCGTCCCAACTCTGGTGCCCTGCTGCAGAACCGTGCCACTGAGATGGCAGAGCGGGGCGGAGGTAGCCATCATCTTAACTCGGGAGAGGTTCCCATATCTCTTCTCCATGATGTAGCTATTGGAAAGAAATCCTCGATTGACCGTCAAGTTAAAAAACAGGTCCTTCTCCTCGTGAGAAATTCTGTAGTACACCCAGTCCTCTGAGCCATCCAAATCTCTCCTCCTCCTGCTGCTCGCGATGGGATAGTGCAAGCCATATGACAAAAAATGCCCACTGGCGTCTACTCGGACTGGACCCACCACGTGGTATTCTGGCAGACCCTTGACAAAATGCTCTGAAAGAAAAAGAGAAATGGAAGAACAGTGAGAGACACTGGTAGGAAGGCAAAGCCACTTTTGTTTGGAACTTGGATGCTAGCTTTCTTCTTTTTTCTTTTTTTTCATTTTTTTTTTTTTTGAAATGAAGTTTCACTCTTGTTGCCTAGGCTGGAGTGCAATGGCACGATCCGGGCTCACCGCAACCTCCTCCTCATGGGTTCCAGCGATTCTCCTGCCTCAGCCTCCCAAGGAGCTGGGATTACAGGCATGTGCCACAATGCCTGGCTAATTTTGTATCTTTTTTAGTAGAGACGGGGTTTCTCCATGTTGGTCAGGCTGGTCTCGAACTCCCAACCTTGGGTGATCCACCTGCCTCGCCCTTCCCAAGTGCTGGGATTACAGGTGTGAGCCACCATGCCCGGCCGCTAGCTTTTTAATTATACAATCCCATTGTTGAATTGAAGTTTAGAGATCCTTTCCATCATACAAATACTGTTAACATTAAATTCCCAGAACAACTTAAATTTACCTGGTGCCTCCTCCTCAGTGACATGATATCAGGTGTTTTACCAGAGACAAATTAAGATGGGAATTAATCCGTGATGGGCACTGTTAGAAAAGGGGCAAAGTCTGCATGAGGAACAGGAATCTTTCAAGTCTAGGATTCAGTAAGACAAATCACAGAGCTTCACTGTGGATTATAAGGTGCTTCAATACATCAAGAACTTCCTGTTAAAGTCAGATTAGAGGGAAAAAAACAAAATCATGGCGAACTCATCATATGCACGCTGATCAACCTCACACCAATTACAGCATAAGAGTGTTCCATAATGTAGCAAAGAGTGCATAAAAGAAGCTGGATTTTAAAAAAATGTTTACCAAACGCATATAAGGGGATATATCAGGATCCGAGGCATTGGCTCAAAACATAAAAACTGCCACTTTAAAAATGCAAGACTGGAACACTTGATCCTTCCCCACACGAGAACACATACACATTTTGACCTACTCAAATTTGCCTCCCTACCACTACCTCCTTATGTTGATGTTTGAGAATAACAAAGGATCTACCTAGCAGAGAATTTATCATCACTCTGGATTACAGACTTTTTTTTTGTTTGTTTGGTTTTGTTTTGCTTTGTATTGTTTTCTGAGATGGAGTTTTGCACTTGTTGCCCAGGCTGGAGTGCAATGGCATGATCTCGGCTCACCGCAACCTCTGCCTCCCAGGTTCAGACAATTCTCCTACCTCAGCCTCCTAAGTAGCTGGGATTACAGGCATGCGCCACTACACCCGGCTAATTTTGTATTTTTCATAGAGACGGGGCCATGTTGACCAGGCTGGTCTTGAACTCCTGACCTCAGGTGATCCACCCACCTCGGCCTTCCAAAACCATTAACCATTTAGTAAGATAAACTAATATGTTGCTTAAAAAAAAACCAAACAAACAAAAAAAAGCTTCTACTTGTCACTTCTCAGTTGTAGTTTTGCACTTTGTAACTTGCTTTACTTTGCTCATGTAACTTCTCCAACTAGAATGTCTTTTGCATTCTATCAAAATCGTGTTTAAGCATTCAAGTCTCAACTTAAACCCTTCCTCTTTTTTCTCCTAATGTCCCTGGCTAAACTTCTCTCGCCTTTCCCTGAACCCTCATGCCCTTCCTGTCTGTACCTCCCAGAATGACTTTATTTTATATTGCCTTTTATTATACAATTTATCCCCAAATCTGCCAGAATCTTACACATCACAGGTGCTCAGTTCTTATGTGTTGATGTATCAGTAAACACTATCGTAGCTAGTTAATTAAAATAACTGGACTTGATGGGTTACAATTATAAAAGAGCTGTTTTTTTTGTTTGTTTGTTTTTTGTTTTTTTCCCAGGCAACTACCTCTAAACCCTTTGTGTAATCATTCTTCTCTGCCTTGGATTAAATATGGGGCAGAACACAGAGTTTTCACTCTCAGGCACTAACAAATGGTCTCCATTTTTAGGCATAAAAAGCCCGGACCCATTATTTCCGACTGCAGCAGCTAGGCACAACAGACCACACGGCAACATGGGCAGATCTTCACAGCAATGCTCCATGAAAAACAAGAAATAGAACAAGCTAATGCAGAGCTATTTACATTTGTGGAAAATACACACACATGAAAACAATAATACAAAGTTTTCCAGAACACATTGGAACAAGAAATACATATGGAACCCATTAAAATGGTTTTCCATGGGGAAGAATTGGAGTAGGGAGTGGGAACAGAAATGCATAAATATACATAACAAAAAAAGCTTTTTTGCAAAATTCATGATACTAGTGTGCCATGAACTGAAGTGTGTAACTGACTCAGTCCTCTCTCCTGCCCATTCACTCCCTAAGAAACGTCTGCTCCAATCTAGTATTAGAGGACCTTCCAAAGAGAGAAACTGTGGGTGGGTGAGGCGGATGCAGTCGGCCCCTGTAGTATTTCCCTCTGGCTGCTCTTCTCCTCTGCTACTCACAGGGATGCTTCTGGCTCCGCCAGGGCTCAAACAGGGAAGGGAGTTAGGGGCAGAAAATATCTTATTCAGTTGGGTATATAGCAATGGTATCATCTAGCAATGGTGCCCTGTATGTAGCCAGTGTCCACATGCTGACTGGCACCTTCTATTAAGAGACGCTCTGTGGCCACTGGGAAACCTCTGCTCCCTTCAGGTCCCTCAGTGTGGATAATTCCTCCTCCAACTGGCCACCCACTGCCTCCCTATCTTCTACCCCTTTACTGAAACCACATCACCCCTACAGGGCATCCTCTTTGGCATCTTTTCAAGATGATCCACATCTTGTTGCCTTTCATGAGGTCCAAATCTGGCTCACAAGAAGCAACCACGATCCCTGACATCCCCTTCACCCCCACCCCACGCCATGAAAATCAGGCCATTCCTGACCGTGCTCTTGGTCAGCTGTGTCACCAAATGTCATTCCAGGCAGTCTTTTGCCTATCCATATTTTAAGGCTAAAATGCTAGTGGCCATGCTCCCCAAACCCATAGCAAACCCTCAGGATCTCTAGCTGTCCCTTCTCTTGCCTTGAGTTGGGGCACAGTAGGGGGAATGAATGCCCTAGCATTCTCATCTCTCCTGAAGGAATTCTCTCTCTGAAGTCTCTCCACTGGCCTTTAAGCCTCTCCTCACGCTCATACTAGGAGAGTGAAGAAATTAGAATCACACCATCCCCCTGCAAGGCCCACACACATGGTCTGAAATTTCTCTTTAAGTATGTGTAGAAAATTAATCTTTTTTTTCTTCTCAGACTTAAGGTCTTGGCAGAAACTGAGACAAAAGAAAGAGTCGCATTTGAATACCCTGTTACACACGCAGGTCTCTGCATCTCTATCAAAACAGAAAATAAGCATCTTTTCTAGCAGATCATTTTTTCAAAAAGCCAGATTGACTGATTTAAGGGGAGCATGAATGAAAAGCAACTACATTTTAAAAAATGAATTCTGAATAAAATGTTATACTCTTCCAAGTCAAATGAGCTATAACCTATTGAACAACTCTGAAAAGAATTGAAAATATCTTATTTGCTATACTTAGAAAACAACTATGATAAAATTTAGGTTGTCATGAAACAAACCAACAAGTGTGATTCTAAATCAATCTTACATTATTAAAAATTACTCTAAATTTTTATGTAAGTTGATATATCAAAATAATTGTGGCAATTTTACAGAAATATGGAAACAATAGGATATAATAAAAGGGCAATAAATGTATAATTGCATCTCTACTATAATTGCAACTGTGAGACATATTAACATATATGCCTATGAATAAAGTGTTTGAAATAATGGGTAAGAGTGCACATTTTTATGATGATGAGATTTGGGGTGTGGTTTTCCCTTTTAAAATTTGTAGTTCCTGTGTTGCTTTTCCCAGTTAAAAATAAATAGGTGAGAAGGATTGAATGGGGGAGTGCTATGCTGGCTTATGAGAGAACCACATAGAATATCCAGTAGACAAGATAAGTGAGGCATGCCTGTGCCCCATGACACAAGGCTGTCTGACCCTGGTCACTCCCGATGCCTTGCTGATGGTACCCACTACAGCTGGCTGCATCCTGAGGGAAGAATTCACCTTGGAAGAGGCATCTCTTGACTGAGACTGCTGGAGATAGGGACAGGACAGCTAGAGTAGAGCTCGAGGTCTTCTCAGGCAATAGGAAAGCAAAATGAGTTTGGAGCGACAGATCCACAGGAGTGTTAGCAGGAGACAAGGGTGTGAGAAAAAGCAGGCCAAGGTAGAAGCAAGCTTAAATGGCAGGCTTGGTATTCTACCATCAAGGCCATCCAGCAGAGAGAAGCAATAATCCCAGCTCTGAGTTAGAAGAATTGCAATGGGAAGAGTGTGGAGGAAGCAAACTTAATCTAGGAGTTATCTCAATTTATCCAGAAAACAACATTTTTTCTCATAAATTTTCTGACTTAAAATATTCTTTATAGAAACTGCCTCTGAAGATACATCTCACAGATTTAAATATGATTTTTGAAAGTGTAAAAGGAAAGACGAAAGTTTGCCTATGCCCTAGCACCTATTGCCCAATAAATAAAAGAGCAAACACATTTATAAATTTTGACCCAGTTGCTTTTGATCGAACAAGTTTTTAAGAGAGCCAATCTAAGTTGGCTATAGAATAATATGATAATAATTACAGTGTTTCATAAGCGCTTGCTGTGAGCCAGGTACCATAAGTCTTTCCTCATTCAATACTCACAACAACCCTGTGATAGAGATTCAGTTGTTATCCCCATTTCATAAATAAGGAAACTGAGTGTAGGAAGTCACTGTGCCACATTATATAACATTCCTTGGATTGAAACGCTGTGCCTTCTATTTCAAAACCATGCTCTAGCCACCACACTTCATTAGTAAGTAAAGAAAAGCAGCTGCTCTTGGCAGAGAGCGTAGCAGGGTTAGAGGTAATAACACTGCTCCTAGGGACGGTGATCTGACCAGACAAGAAGCGCTTCACTTCTT